GCAAAGTCGTTGTTCCCTGAGAGTGGCGATTCGATTAAGGGTAAGTCCTCCCAGACTTGTCTTAAAGAGCCTGTAAGACCCCAATGGCTGATCGATCATTCAGGGACAAGACCCTAAACCCTAAACCCCCAACCCTAAACCCTAACATGAGATCATTTAAAAGAAGGGCTTGAGACTTACATTTAGGACCCGTGTCTAGCCATCAGAACGTATCTGAGCCGTCTGCCTCGGCACCCCGCAAGGCCCCCAGCTCCGTGACGAGCTGCTGCATGTCCTTCTGCTGGGCCTCTGAATAGAAGCGCGCCACCATGCTGGGCTAGGGTTTAGGCTTTAGGGTCTAGGGTCTAGGGTTTAGGGTTTAGGGTTTGGGGTTTGGGGTTTGGGGTTTAGGATCTAGGGTTTAGGCTTTAGGAAAAGAAACACGCCACCATGCTATGAAAGGTAGATTCTGGGAGTTTCCAACATTCGGGGTACCTTTTTGGGGTCCTTATTCTAAGGGGTCCTTATTCTAAGGGGAGCCTAGATGTTTATGCTAGGCTAGGAGTTTTGGGGGTGGCGGTATTCCTGTGAGGCAGTTAGGGCTCGAGGCTGAGAGTGGTCAGGACTCATCAAGCTCTGAAACACGCTGCTAAAGATGATCTCCTTCAATCCAAGTAGGGAACTATCAAATATCCCAAGGGCCAAGCTAGGAATTGGGAGTAAACCATAAACCATAAACCCTAAACCCTAAACCCTAAACCCTAAACCCTAAACCCTAGTTGAATGACCTCTGGGATGCTTTTGGGATGCTTTAGGAGCTCTCCAGGCATCCCCGAGCGGAATGACAGGGCAGGGGGCCCAACCTTTGCCCTGTCAACTCGGAACCTGGCCGGCGGTCCTGGGGGACCCCTCTGAGGGTTAAAGAAACCCAAAACCAGAACGTTGCAGTAACATTTAAATAGAGAAGGTGTAGAGAAGGTTTAGGGTTCAATAAAGAGAAGGTGTAGAGAAGGTTTAGGGTTCAATAAGGGTGTAAAAGAGTTTAGGGTGAACGTTTCTGCTCACCTGCATGGATTCGAGGAGCTCCTTGTTCTGGCATCCCTGTTCCTGCGAGCTTAGGTTTAGGCTTCAGGGGCTGTTCGGGCTCTGCGGTTCGTGGTATAACGGCTTTTAAAAGTGCTGATAAGGTTCATAGGGTTCAAGACAGGGTTCAAGGCAGTGTGGCGATTAATTAGGGTTTGGGGTGCTGGGAAAATGGCTCATACTCTTTCGGGTTTAAGCCTGCAGGGCAACTTCGGGGAACATTTAAACCCCTCACGGTTGACCTTTGCCCCCGGCACCGTCGATTTCCGAAGCAAGCTGAAAGCAAAGGAACCCCAAACCCAAACCCCAAACTCTAAACCTATGTTTGGATGAAGACTCATGAAGACAACGCAAATGGCGGCCAGCTTCTGTTGCAGGCCTTTGGGGCCTGCACCCGTTTAGGGCTTAGGTTTTTGGATTCGCCGAAGCCCTGCAGTATAAACACCAAGTTTCAAACCCTGACTGAGCTTCTAACCCTGACTGAGCTTCTGAAGTGCCAAAAGCAGCTGAAGCCTCTTTAAACCCAGTATAATACACGGTCTAAAATCGCGTAACATCGTAATAGACAGCATGATACAGTATAATTTAGCATAACATAGTACAATACAATATACAGTACGGGATAATATCGTGTGGTATCATCTGAGAAAAAGACTGTGGAGCCCTCCGTGTGATTCATGAACTCCTATAACCCAGACCCCTGGGAGGATCCAAAAAATAGGCATTGACCCAATAGTAGTAGAGGGTATTATTTGGGTGTAGTATGATACAGTGTAATCTAGTATAATCTAGTACAATACAAAATCGTACAAGATAACTATAGTACAGTATAATCTGAAAACACGATTCAAGAACTCCTATAAAGCCCTCACCTCGTAGTCCTTCTGCAGCTTGCGCAGCTCCTGGCAGGGGCAACAGGCAGAAGGCCTTCCGGCCAGGATTGGGGTTTAGGGTTTAGGGTTTAGGGTTTAGGGTTTAGGGTTTAGGGTTTAGGGTTTAGGGACCAGTTCGGGTTTGGGGATCGTTGCTGCGAGAAAATGGCTAGCAGACTGTAGTAAGGGATCTACCTGGAGGTTCATGGTACTTAATAAACCAATTCTAACTGTGCATAAGACCCACCTGCAAGCCCCTTTGAGTGCCCTCATATGGTTCTATAAGTACAGATGTCATTGGTTGATAAGTACCATGAGCCTCCAAGCAAGCTAGGCATCGCAAGCAAGCCGCTCAAGAATGTGACCCGATTCGTTCGGTCCTCTTGCTGCTGTTGGGCCACAAGTTTTGCAGACCTCGACTCGACTCTGCTGGACATGCCAAACGCCAAACGCTGTGAGAATGAGCACCTGCTGCCTGCCTAGGTGTCGAGTTTTCTGGCATGAACTTCTCTGCTTGGTCGAAGTGCGCAATAGATCCGCCCAAGCGCTGCTGCGCTACAGTACGAGTATAAACAAAAACCATAGAACAACATGCTTACAATCATAAGATCTTGGGACGTTCCCCCTTATACTAGCAGTCCTTCAGAGGGATCATACTAGGGAAGGTACTTTCATCCCAATTAAGGGCTGTTATTATAAGGGGGAACATCCCAAACAAGATAGCAGAATAAACCCTGAACCCTAAACCCGAAACGCTAAACCCTAAGCGTGCGCTGAGCTTGAGACTCGGCCTCTGCAGCCACCACGCGGAGGGCTTCCGCCTGCAAAAGATGGCGGCTGGTGGGCTTTCCTGGCTGGTTCTTAGTAGGGAATGAGGGAAGTGAGGTACCCTAATTATAGAATCCCTTAAAAGGTATATATATATATATATATATATATATATGGGGCCCTGATTCCCGCATTCCCTACGAAGAACCAGGGCTCGGAACCCTTGGGAACCAAAGAAACCCAACGAAGGGGTTTGGGCTCATGTATTGGGATGTTCCCCCTTATACTACCAGCGGGATGAGAGTACCCCCTACGATCATTCCTTTTAAGGACTGTTAGTACAGGGGGAAAACTTTAATGCATATATATATATATATATATAGATACATATATATATATATATATATATACAAATACACACATATATATATATACATGTATATATATATATATATTAATCTAATTATTCATGGCGATGAAAGTATCAGGGTATACGACCCAATCTTAGGGCTCAATGCGAACACCCCATAGAACATGAAGTGCAGCATCTGTTCTTTGAGCACAACCCTAAACCCTAAACCTGAAACCCTAAACCCTAGACCCTAGACCCTGGACCCTAAACTCTAAACCCTAAATCCTAAACCCTAAACCCTAAGCACAGGTACGTGGACTCTTCCGCTCTGAGAGCCTGTGCCGGACGGCCGCTCCTACCAGAGCTCTGCTTGGAGGTTCATGGGTAGATATAATTAGGGTTTAGGGTTTCGGGTTTAGGGTCTGGGGTTATGAGGATGGGTTTCGGGTTTAGGGTCTGGGGTTATGAGTATGGTACCTATACTGCTAACCCTACTTACAGAGAACTTATAACTCTACTTGTAGCCACCCCTGAACCTCCAAGTGCTCTGTGAATCGATGCACTTGGGAGCTCGCCGCGCCACTTGCGCTTTGTCACTTATTGTGGCGATTTGGGTTCACTGTTGAGCGCTGGCACGCTCCTCTATGCAATCGTAGGTGAAATTAAAGATACCGCGCAGGAATTGACTCTGTGGTGCCAGCCGTGGGCCGAACTTGAACGGATGCAGCTTGAAAGGGGGGTCTCCCATAAGTTCCGCTAGGGCCGCTAGGAATGCGCGGATGAGAAATAACTAAAGAAATATCCTAAAACCTAAACCCTAAACCCTCTAAAGTGAAAATCGCTTCCCATGGCATACGGCTGTACTGATGTTTCGGATCCACCCCGCCTTTCACTTTGTTGCACGCATATCGAAACAGATTCACGGCTTCTCTCCCCACCCCACCATACCCAATCGTTCCGCGCCACGCCCACAAGGAACAATATAGGGCCCCAAAAAGCACATAAGTAAAAATTAGGATAGGGATATCCCATATAAACCCCCTTATCATGAAGCTCAACAAGGTAGGGACATACCTCTAAAATGCTTATGCTTCTGTCCTTTTTGGGTCCCCAACCATAAGAACATGCTAGAGCCTAAGGCCAAGACTAAGCTATGATGTCAAATGTGGCCAGTGGCGGCACCATCAGCCTGAAATCACTAAACTCCCTCACGTGAGGAGAAGCTCGTGTGCTGACACTCCGCGCCTCGACAGGGCTCCAAAGCTCAGAAGGGCTTCGGGTTTAGGGGGGGTTTAGGGTTTAGGCTTTAGGGCTTAGCGTTTAGGGTTTATAGGCATCCTTAAGTAGATAGAATATTTGAAAATCCGAAAACAAAAAAAAAACAAAACCCCCTTTCCAAAACGATAGATAGAATATCGAAACCCCCAAAACGTTAGATAGAATATTGGCCGAAAATTTAGGGCCAAGGGGCGCACCGGGGTCAATTATATACTATCTATGGGTTCCTGCAGGAGGAGGAGTTGGAGGTGCTGTTTTGGGGTCCTCTCCTTCTCCTCTTCTCCTCTTCTCCTCTTCTCCTCTTCTCCTCTTCTCCTCTCCTCCTCTCCTCCCCTCCTCCCCTCGTCCCCTCGTCCCCTCGTCCCCTCGTCCCCTCCTCCCCTCCTCCCCTCCTCCCCTCCTCCCCTCCTCCTCCTCCTCCCCCTCCCTCCCCTCCCTCCTTCCCTCCTCCTCCTCCGCTCCTCCCCTCCTCCTCCTCCTCCTCCTCCCCTCCTCCCCTCCCCTCCTCCCCTCCTCCCCCCTCCTCCCTCCTCCTCTCCTCCTCTCCTCCTCCTCCTCTCCTCCCCTCCTCTCCTCCTCTCCTCCTCTCCTCCCTCTCCCTCCTCCTCTCACTCCTCTCCTCCTCCTCCCTCCTCTCCTCCTCTCTCCTCCTCCTCCTCCTCCTCCTCTCCTCCTCCCCTCCCTCTCCCCATCCTCCTCCCCATCCTCCTCCCCTCCTCCTCCTCCTCCTCCCTCTCCTCCTCCTCTCCTCCTCCTCCCTCTCCTCCTCTCTCTCCTCGCTCCTCTGCCTCCTCCCTCTCCTCCTCCTCTCCTCTCCTCTCCTCCTCCTCCTCCTCCTCCTCCTCCTCCCCCTCCCCTCCCCTCCTCCCCCCCCTCCCCCCCTCCTCCCCCCCTCCTCCCCCCCTCCTTCCCCCTCCTCCTCCTCGCCCCCCCCTCCCCCCTCCCCCCCTCCTCCCCCTCTCCTCCCCCCTCTCCTCCCCTCTCCTCCTCCCCCTCTCCTCCCCCTCTCCTCCTCTCCTCTCTCCCCCCTCTCCTCCCCCTCTCCTCCCCTCTCCTCCCTCCCCCCTCTCCCCCCTCTCTCCCCCTCTCCTCCCCCTGCTCCCTCCCTCTCCCCCTCTCCCCCCTCTTCCTCCCCCCTCTCCTCCCCCTCTCCCCCTATCCCTCCTCCGGGCTCCCCTCCTCCTCCCCCTCTTCTCCCCCCCTCTCCTCCTCCCCCTCTCCTCTCCCCTTCCCCTCTCCTCCTCCCCCTCCCTCCTCCCCCTCCCCTCCTCCTCCCTCTCCTCCCGCCTCTCCTCCTCCTCCTCTCCTCCTCCCCCTCTCCTCCCCTCTCCTCCCCCTCTCCTCCCCCCTCCTCCCCCTCCTCCCTCCCCCTCCTCCCCCTCTCCTCCCCCTCCCCTCCCTCTCCTCCCTCTCCTCCCTCTCCTCCTCTCCTCCTCTCCTCCTCTCCTCCTCTCCTCCTCCTTCCTTCAACTATATTCTATCTATGGGTTCCTGCATGCAGGAGTCTCCCTCTCCTCCCTCTCCTCCCTCTCCTCCCTCTCCTCCCTCTCCTCCCTCTCCTCCCTCTGCTCCCTCTCCTCCCTCTCCTCCTCTCCTCCTCTTCTCCTCCTCTCTTCCTCATACTACAGCCTGTTGCAGCCTGCTCGCGGGAACCCCATAGATAGAATATGCCTGGCCTCAAGCGTGGACTAAAGCCCTGCAGGCCCTCGTAGAACCCCCATACATGGAATACACCAGGTTTCAAGTGAAGACACATAGGAGCTGAGACGCATAAGTGAACCCATCTGGTGCTTGACGAGTCTTGAAACTCATAGTTAGAATATGTGCGCAGGAGGGCCCGAAAACGGGCGTTTTTTCAGGGTCCCGAAAATATTCTATCTATGGGTTCCTTCAAAAACATGGGAAAAAGCCCAAATCCCCGAAAAAACAACGAAAACCATATTCTATCTATGCAAGGATAACTAGAAGGTTTAGGGTTTAGGGGCTCCCGCAGTTTCCTAACCCTAAAACCCTAAACCCTTTTGCATCCGGGCTTGGGCAGCCACCTGAATTAAACCCTAAACCCCCCTGAACCTTCCAGTAGGGTTGGGGCAGAGGCTTGGTCTAGGCTTGGTGGTAGGGGGAGGCGCTGAAACTTCATCTGAATGAAAGCATGACTGGGCCTTCTGCAGAACCCATGGCTCAGGGTTCCGTTGGCCCGCACAAACATGCATGAAGGTTTCCGAAATTAGGGTTACCTTTTTGGGGCCCTTATTATGCGGGGATCCTACTATTTGGGGATCGAAATTGGGGGTACATACGACCAGCAAGATGCCAGGATTTGCAGTTTAGGGTTTTTAGGGTTTCGGGAAGCTGGTCAAAAACTTCAGGCACACCTAGGACAGCTCTCGCAAGACAGCAAAAAAAAGGAGTACTGAACTCAACCAACACACCAGCACACCAACACAAGGAACTCAACGATATCAGGGGTCTACCCGGAACCGTGACCCCTAACCCTAAACCCTAAACCTGTACGTAAGACCAAGCTTGTGCATCGACCCGTCCCGGCCCTGAGCCCAAGACACCAGGACAGGCTCGCGACTGGGATCCTGCTGGCACATGGCATACCTACTGCCCTCATTACTAATTGAAAAAGGCCCTGATGTTGTTGTTTTAAAGGCTCAGCTTTGAGTTTGGAGCCTTTGCCAGCCCCATGCATGGAATCACTTGCAAGGAGGGACCATGTTATTATCCTTAGAATATGGGTAGCTCTCTAAATTCGGGTCCTTTTGTGGGATCCTTTTTTAAAGGGCTTGCAAGGAGCTTGTCGATGTCAACGGTGCAATATGTTTTTCACCCAAAGCCCTAAACATGTACTTCCCCCCCCCCCCCCCCAAATATTAAAACCCTCCCCCCCCCCCCCCCCCCCCCCCAATACTCCCAGTATAATTATGTTAGAGTATGTGGGCGGGGGGGGGGGGTACTATTTGCGTAAGAAACCACCCCGACAAAAAAAAAAAAACTATAGCCCTTATAAGGAGGATTTGTTTTACAATATTTTGTTGGGGGTTCTTAGCAAGTAGTAGAAACTGAGCTTCTGGTAGCGCGTTGCTTGGCCACCCCGATTATCATCCCCTATTCAGGCCGCAATTCCAAAGTCAAGCTCAAACCCCCAAAAGGCATTAGGGTTTAGGGTATAGGGTTTATCATTATGCCCTATTCAAGCCGCACTTCCGAATTCAAGCTCAAACCCCCCAAAGGGTTTAGGGTTTAGGGTTTATATGCTTTAGGTTTATATTCCCTTGCCTTCCACCTGACACATACTCAAGACATTGCGGTTTAGGGCTTAGGGTTTAGGAATCATCTCCTGGAAGCATGACTCGCATCGCCGGACCAGGTCCTGTCTCCAGGTCTCCGAGCCACTACGCATGACGCGCGGCCGCGCGTGGCCCATCCGGAGAGCAGTCTCCAGATATGGCGCTTCCTGTTCGACAGGCGCTGAAGATCTAGATCCATATCACAAACCTCCACACGGCTTTCTTGCACATTGTTGGGCTATCGAAAATCGCCAGATCCTAACAAAGAAAACAGGCCTGGAAGCACTCCTCCCAGTTTTCGTCCTGAAAACAGCGGGGACATGCTAAGGCCACGCATGCTGTGTGGCCGACACTGTCGACTGCTGCGGTCAGCAGCAGACATCTGATGTGAAAGTTCGTGGATGTTTTGGGGTCACTGAGGCACTCTCCTACATGACACTACACTGATACACCCAATGCAAGTGCTCCGAAGGTGAAAGATTGTTCAGGCTTCCAGCTCTACCCTTCCTCTGCATGTCAGTCTGCCGTTCTTCCTCTTTCTCTAAGCTCTGTTTCATGTGTGCTGCATTTTGCTTTGAGAGGCTTGATCCTGCTCAGGGTCTAGGGTTTAGGACGACCTTTCAGTTGCTCTGCGATGTCTTGCCCTAAACCCTAAACCCTAAACCCTAAACCCTAAACCCTAAACCCTCCCGTCCCAACCTCTTCCTCTTCTTCTTTGCCAGAGCGCTTCGCGCAGGCCCTGCATCGAGGTGCACCGGTGCTTGTGGGGAACAAACTCCCCCCAGGCCCACCCTAAACCCTAAACCCTAAACCCTAAACCCTAAACCCTGCACCTTAAATAAACCTCCCTAAAAAGTGCGCGCCTGTAGAAGAGGAAGGCGATGAACAGGATGGTGAAGGCAAAGATTTTCAGAGATCCCTCCGATCCCTCGGAAGCCTCCGGCAGATTCGGTCCGTCTGGCGCTGCATACAAGTGACAATTCTGCTCTCATACCGTAATACGAGAATACGATAATGCCTTCATACTATAATGCTATAATACTAGAATACGAAATACTACAATAAAAAAGTACCATAATACCATAATACCATAGTACTATGATACTATAATACTATAATACGATAATACTATACTATGATACTATGATACTATGATACTATGATACTATGATACTATAATACTATAATACCATAATACTATTATACTATAATACAAAATACTATAATACTATAATACTATAATACTATAATACTATAATGCTATAATACCATAATACTATAATACTATACGACTATAATACTATAATACTCTAACGCAATCATACTAGAATACTAAATACTATATTACTAGAATACGATAATGCTCTCATACCATAAAAAATATTCACATAAGAATGTAATGATACTATCGTACACTAGTGCTATAGTATACTACTATAGTTCATACAGCAACACCAGAATACAACAATAGAATAACAGAATAGAATAACAAAACTATTCTGTCAGACACATATGACCAGACAGAATATGAACCAATAGCAATACAAGATTCTCACCTACTTACTGTAGTAGAACAGAAAAGAACTGAAGAACTAGCAATCTCAGATGGCACTTGGAGGTTCATGGTACTAATTAACCAACTATAACTGTACTCATATTAGTGCACTTAGGGGGCTCCTAAGTGGGTTATAAATACAGTTATCATTGGTTAATAAGTACCATGAACCTCCAAGTAGCATCAGTATGCGGAAACATACGGAAACTGGCCTCCGAAGGAGAGGTCTGGAGAAATGGCCCCAAGACCTGAGACAGCAGTGCTGGGTTTATGGGTTAGGGTTTCAGGGTTTAGGTTTTAAGGTTTAGTGTTTGGGACAAAGGTCTGGGACCGTCTGGGGGAGCAACATTGCAGCCAGTTGTTTAAGGGGGTTTAGGGTACAAAGGCAACATGGGTGGCCGTGCGTGGTTTTGCCAATCCAGCGTTAGTTCTAGCCCTAGGAAATACACGAGGCCAGCCATGAAATCCTGCATGGCTGGCCAGAGTGCGGGCTAGGTCTGTACACGTCAATGAGCAGAGTGCCTTTAGCACCTGACTGCCACCAAGAGACACAAAATTATTCGCAGCAACTGCTGTGCGCTCGTCCCACGTGTCAATCCCCAGCGTTGGTAGGGAAAGAAGCTCACTGTCACGCAGCTCGTACGACTGAAGTTGAGCGTACGGCTGGTAATCGACTAAGAATCTAATGTTACATTACAAACCAGCATGGCTTTGCGCCATGGGTAGCGAAGATGCAGCACTCCAGCTGTAGTCCTGCTGCTGAAGCACCCAGATGTGTGCTGCATTCTCCACGCCAATCTGGAGGCATGCTCAAAAATTGAAATGATAAAGCATACCATCACAGAGGACTTCAAACCTGAACTTCGTTAAATTGTGCATCTTACAAAGATTGGGGCATGCAAGGCGTTGCCGCTAGAAAGGCAGAAGCCCCTGCCGAAAGCTTGAGCCAATGCCACCTCAACTGAGTGCGTTGTCGATGCAGCATCCGGTCGTCATACGGCGTCTCATGCTCTTCGGGGTGATGCGGCTGCGACTCTGGTGCACGATGGGCTCCAGTTTGCTCTTGGGACTTCCTTGGGGACGAAATGAACCCCAAAATTGGTGTCATATACCCTCTGCTACCATAACCCCTATTCAGGCAGGTATGTTCACCATAAACCCCCTAAACCCTAAACCCTAAACCCTAAACTTTTGGGGTTCATTTCCAAGGTTCTGGCTGGCTGCACAAGATGCCGCAGGATCGCCAAGGCATCCTCCTTGACATCTGTTGTGGGGCTGCTTTCCTTAGGTTGGCTCTTAGAAACATCTGAAAAATTATTCCGAAAAGGGTTTAGGGTTTAGGGTTTAATCCTCTGCAATTGAAAATAAGGAATTATCCCTAAAGGGCCTACCTAGGGCTTTAAACTACTGGCTCTGAGTAAGGACTAAGGGAACTAGGTACCTTATATAATATCCCGAAACCCTAAACCCTAAACCCTAAACCCTAAAACGCCTTAAACAAAATGTCCTTAAGGGCCAAGCCCTAGTTTCGGTCTTGTTGGATCCCAGGCTGTTGGACCGCTGAACACTGGGCATGAACGAGGCGTAGAAGGCCTCAACCGGGCCGTGCTCTTGTGCAAGCGCGAAGTATTTCAGGTACCACTCTGTAAACTCCTTAGCTGTTCCAGAAACCTGGGGGGAATTGCAGGTTCGCCTTTGGGAGTTTATAGGGATTATGAATACATCGAAAAGGTCAAAGGTTACCGACTCGACTACTAAGAGTCCGTGAAGTCCACAGAGCCATTCCCATCAAGGTCCACCTCGTGCCAGAAGCGCTCAATGCGGTTTGAGGGAAGGTCTGACTTGTTGGAACAGTGCAGGAGGGTGTACATCATCGCCTCAAACTCCTTGTTCATTGTTGCGATAATCTTAAAAGCATAAATTTACATACCTTATTGGGCTTCAGTACCCTTAAACATGCAAAATGTTACCCAACTATGACAAAGACGCGTTGAACTCGATGAGTCCACTCTTGTCGGTGTCGAAGTGGTCGAACTTGAGCTTCACTTTGTCGAGCTCGATGCAGGAGCAGTGGTGCTTCTTGGCAAGCTCAAGCGTCAGTGCATCAGCATCTTCCTTCTCCGGGTTTTTCTCCTGGTTCTTCGAGGGGAATGCGGGAATTAGGGCCCAATATATATATATATATATATGTATATATACCCTTGAAGGGAGTACGTATGGTACTCCCTACAAACATATATATATATATATATACCCTTTCAGGGATTCTGTAGAGGACCTCAGATACCCTGAAAGGGTACCTGCTCTACCTACACTTTAAAAGGGAATATGTAGGGTATCTCATTCCCTCCTTTTCCCCACCCTAAGAACCCGCCAGTTTTGTCTCCTGGCCGTGCATGAAGGTGAAGATGTGGTCCCGGTACCAGGAGAGGAATCGCTTCGGGCTCACCGGGCCCTCTGCCGCCTGGGGTTTGAGGTTTGGTTTAGGGTTTAGGGTTTAGGGTTTGGGGTTTGGGGTTCAGGGTTTAGGGTTTAGGGTTTAGGGTTTGGGGTTCGGGGTGGTCCTTTATGCTCAAGAGGAGTCCCCTTTTTGAGGCTTTCATTGCTTTGCCCGCCCTCTAGTCTACAAGAGTCTTATGATAGGAGGCCATCTGAAGATAGCGGGGGGGGGGGGGGCAAGGATCCCCAAAGGCGAGCTTGAGACTACAGAGCGTGCTGACAAAACGCGCCTGGCACTGTCGGTAAGCATCCTGGAGCAGTCTGTCGTCGATGTCCTTGACATTAAAGGCCTGAAGAACGCATTGCCGGAAAGCTGGAAGCTCCATACCTGGAGTTTCATATTCCAGCAGATATCTTACAGTGTTCAGCGGCGGACTACGGCAGGCAGCCCCGTGCTAAAGGTCTGTGTTTATCATGAGGAGGCCATTTTGTCAGCTGCTGCGGCTTCTGTTCTTGCGGTGGTGGGGGCGCGCTCCGGAACCATAAAAAGATTGGGACAGCGCAGCACTTCTGGCCCTTCAGGCACGTCATGTGCAGAAAATGCTGTACCGTCCCAATGTTTTTGGGTACGGAGCTGCAGGGATGCAGAGGCTGTGCTGTCCCAGTGCTTTGATTTTGAGGCCTGAGATGCAGAAATGCCCGTGCTGTCCCGAAGTTTGCGGTTTTCAGCTCCGGAGACCCTCAAAAGTTGTTTCTTTTGAGTTTTTTTTGGGACAGGACAGCTCTTTTGCATTCCAAAGCTTCAGAACACTGGGACAGTAAAAGCATCTCGCCTCCACTACGGAGTTCCTGGCAGCCAGAAGCTACCATTTAAAAAACAATCCCTTTATTACCCTTAAGAGGGAAGAATATTTTGTATTTTTTCGGAGTTCTTAAGCAAATAGTAGGAAGGTTCAGGTACAAACAGGTAGAAGCTGTTCTGTTGCTGTCAGAAAAAAGAGATTCAGATGGCGGAAAAGGTATAGCTCGGCAAGAAATAGCATCTACACAACTCATCCGTACATGTCGAAAAGAAGTCGACAACATGGGCGCGCGCGGGGGGTGGGGGGGAGTAGCATATATGCTACTACAGCAAGAAACAGCATCTACACAGCATAATTTCATCCAGATCTGTCGAACAGAAGTATACATGCAGACAGACATACGTACGTACATACACACATACACACATACACACACACACACACACCCCTCTATGTATTGCAGGTATGTTTACGATTGCATATACAAACACATACACACGCACGCATGCTATGCGCATGCCTACGCATACATTCACACATACATACACATAATATTACTCACATTGCATGATGTTACACTACACTACATTCATGAACACAATACGATTATTGCACAATTAAACTAATGCCTTGGCATATGCTTACGTACATACATGCATTACATACATTACGTTACGTTAGATGTAGATATAAACCAATAGAAAAACGAAATGCATCGTGCGCCATGGTCTCAGCAAGGTCTTTACTTGTAGACCGTGAGTTGTAGGCTCTTGAGGCATGGGGGAAAGGTGAGATACGTCCACAATGCTCTTGAGTCTTTAAGGTATACTAATGGCGTCTGCATAATTTCGATGCATTGATGTGCTTGTTGTTCTTCTTCTTGTTCTGCACACTCTCTCACTCTCACTCGCACTCTCACTCTCACTGCCTCTCTCTCCTCTTTTTGGGGAACTGTTTTGGAGTCTTTTCGGAAGCAAGTGCAGCAAGGATGACCTCCATTGGGCAGCGTTGGGTGCTCCTTCCGCAACTCCTGCACGGCATCCTTGACTTCATGAAAGTCCAAGTGGAGCTGGCGGGACAGAAGCAAGGCTTCGGTCTTCAAATCCACGATCGACGGCAAGCTAGTGTGCCTTACCTTAGTTGTCCAGTATCCAGGAAAACTCAAGGCTAACCTTTTGGATTATATCGGGATTGTGGTGCCACAAAAGAACGTCAAAGGTTACTTACTCTACTACTAAGTTGCCAAGGGCTCCTTCTCAACCATGGTAGGTAGCTGAGGGAGGAAGTCTGGCTGGGATGGTTGGCGGGTTGGCGTGCGCAGTTGGCTTTTCGAAGGGTTCCTGCGCCGCCTCACGATCTTCCCCGTCTCAGCCTTGGTTGCTCAGTAACCATATTCTAATAGGGACACCCGTTTTTGGGTTGGCTATTTTATAAGGGAACCCAGAAACCCCCCCCCCCCCCAAAAAAAAAAAAAAAAAAAAAAAAAGGAAAAGGGTACCACTGGGCTAGCAAGCAGCTGTGGGGCAGACGGGGAGCTCACTAAGACTCATGTGCGAACCACCATCAGTCTTGCGACGGCACATGCTGCGAGAACCGAACTTCGCCACCTCGAGCGAAACTTCGCCTTGACAAGTCATGGCGCTCTTGAATCCTCGGGCAGATGGTACTTCCTCTTGAAAAACCTAGCCCCCCCCTTTATGGCTTTTGCAGATCGCCTGCGGCCCCTGGCTGCGGTTCGCAAGGTTCACAAGGAAGCTGCGGCAGAGAAGAGGCGGAGCAATCTACGCAGCCCTAAACCCTAAACCCTAAACCCTAAACCCTAAACCCTAAACCCTAAACCCTAAACCCTAAACCCTAAACCTAAACCCAGCTCAGAATAAGGGCGCGGCGGCTAGCAGCAGCACCAAGGTCGTGCAGGCCAGCGTGTAGGTACATCTGCTGCAGCAGCTTCCTTCATGGAAGGTGTCTGCACATAGGTGCATGTGCGTAGCAACTAAGTATTTCCCCAGGTAGGGAAGCCCCGTATATACCACAAGATCTTGCAATCCTGACCAGAGGAAGCCTCACGAAGCGCACAGTACCACTACTCCCTCAGGGTCCATGCTTAAAGTACCTCCAATTTAGGGACTTTAAGGCCCAAGTACATAATAATAAGGTACATAGACCCTTAGGGACTATTCCCTAAACCCTAAACCCTAAACCTCCATGTGGAGCGGCGCTGGTCCCGCCTGTTCGCGCCGGCGGCATCTGATCTTCATTTCTGGGAGAGGGTTCTGGAGCCTGGATCAAGCCGAGCTCACAATGTCGCTAAGCTTCCTCAGGGTTTAGGGTTTAGGGTTTAGGGTTTAGGGTTTAGGGTTTACGGTTTAGGGATAGGATTAGGGGGAATCTTGGGGAAATAGACCCTCTGAATGAGGTCCCTGTTTAAGAGAGCCAGAAGAGGGTTCAGAAGGGTTCCCTTTTAAGGGTCCCCCTTATCCTACCTAGGAGTTGCAAGAAAAAGAGCTGGCTTGCACCAAATCGCTTACAAACGCAGACACACAAACACGCAATCACACGCACACATTCTCCTAGAGCCGACATCGGAGAAACCCCCCCAAATAGTGGGATTCCCTTGTAGTAAGGATCCCAATAAGGTACCGCTAATTTCGGAAAGCACCGTTGGGCCATGGTCGATCGAGAAATGTTGTGCTGCTTGTGATGACACCCCTAAACCCTAAACCCTAAACCCTAAACCCTACACCCAAAACCCAAAACCCTAAACCCGTTGTGGGCCCTTAGCCCCCGGCTGGCATCATCGCTGCTGGGGGGCTGCACCTGCATCGTAGCCAGTTCGGAACTGGGGTGTTTGAGTTAGGTGCATTTTTTGGTGGAACCCCTGCAAGGAGGATGTAAAGAAAGCACTCCAGGGTATGTTCAGGCCAGTTTTCTGGGAAAACCGAAGTGCAGCTCTGCACGCAGAACCTGGCAGGAGCCTAAACCCTAAACCCTAAACCCTAAACCCTAAACCCTAAACCCTAAACCCTAAGCCCTAAGCCCTAAGCCCTAAGCCCTAAGCCCTAAACCCTAAACCCTAAACCCTAAACCCTGAGCACGCATCCTTTTTAACTGGGTCAGAGCACTTTGTCTCTGCCAAGCTGCCACATCTCGCTGGAGGATACTGGAGGGGTGGCTGGTTATCCTGTGCCTCCACCCAGCTGAGGTTTTAGGGTTTAAGGTTAGAATACTCTATATATATATATATATATATATGTTAAGAGGAAGAATACTAACAATAATCATCATCATGATAATAGTTTTAAGAACAATATACGTAATGATATAGTATAAGTATAAGAGCATATATATATATATATATGTATGCGTAATGACATAGAAAAATGATAGTGGTATAGTAGTACAATGATAGGGGGGGCCTCTATGAATCCTGGAACCAGCCTCTCACAGAAACTCTCGCAATGTCGCCGGCGTCAACGGCCCACGCAGGGCCACGGGCGGGTCGGACTCGCGCTTCACTGCGACCCCCTTGATGTGAGGTATCTGAACTCCTTGGTAGCCCAGTAACCATCTCATCATAGGGGGTACCCCTTTTTTGGACAAAAAAATGGGAAAAGGCAGTGGGCTACCAAGACTCCAAGCACTGGCAAATTGAAGCGCTTCAGCTTCACTTCCTCAGTTGCCAAGGGAAGGTTTAGGGTTTAGGGTTTTTTGCCACCCGCCTAGGTTTAGGGTTTAGGGTTTCAGGTTTAAGGTTTAGGGTTTAGGGTTTAGGGAATAGTCCCTAAGGGTCCATGTACCTTATTATGTACTTGGGGCCTTAAAGTTCCTAAATAGGAGGTACTTTAAGGTCCAAGTATTCCCTATTTAGGTATATGGACCCTTAGGGGGTGTGGCTGTGAGCCAGACGAAGTTGTTGTTATCGTGCTGGGAAAGCCTCCACTAACCAAACACAGCCCTGCAGCTGCCCTTGGACCAGTCATCCGTCATTTTGCTCCCAAAAGCACTTGTGCACCCCTAAACCCTAAACCCTAAACCCTAAACCCTAAACCCTAAACCCTAAACTCCAAAGCCTTAATCCTGCCAAACCTACTTCTGGACTGCCCATCGCAGGAACTTCAAAGAGCTGCCCTTCGAAGAGCCTCTCCGTGTCGCGGCATGGATCGCAGCCTCGGGATGGTTTGGCAAAGCTGCTCATGTTTAGGGTTTAGGGTTTAGGGTTTAGGGTTTAGGGTTTAGGGTTTAGGGTTTAGGGTTTAGGGTTTAGGGTTTAGGGTTTAGGGTTGGGTCCAGGTTTTTTTTTTGTGTTTTTTCTGGTGTTTTCCGTGTTTTTCATGGTCTTGGGTTTAGGGTTTAGGGTTCACCTGAAACCATAATGTTGGACCCTCTTTACTGTGTAGGCCCCCCCCCCCCTGAACAGTCGAGGCGTGGATGGGAGCCTGATTACACGGCCCCGGGGGCTTATATGATTTCCATAGGGAGGAGTTTAGATAGGTTTCAAAGGGGCAGCGATGCCCGGCTATCTTTTTTAAAGGCGCGCCACGTGGAATTTCTTACGGCGCCCGGACGGTTTGACTTTAAAGACGACCCCGCAAACAGTCAGGGGGTCCTGAATAATTCGGCCAAATTGACTTTAAAAAGGAGGCCCCTACTAAAGAGGGTCCAACATTAAAAAACACGAAAAAAACCAGAAAAAACACGAAAAAAGAACCGTCAGCCTTTAGGGTTTAGGGTTGGTTTAGGGTTTAGGATGGTTTAGGGTTTGGGGTTTAGGGTTTTACTTCCGTTGCTTCCTGCAAGGGCCGGAAGGGTTCGATCGCAACGGCACGTTGGCTCGTGCTCAGAGTGGATCAAGGTTGACTCCGGACATCTCACTAGTTCTAGTCAAGTTCTAGTCCCTGTGGCACACCACGCGTGGCAAAAGTAAGGACCCCGAACAGGACTCCTGTTACCCTAAACCCTGAACCCCAAGCCCTAAACCCGAAACCCTAATCTTGTTCCCAGCAGCCGTTGCACACGGCCATCTGCACGGATCGCAGTGCCGCTTGGGCTGTGCGTAGGTATGGCATCTGAGAGCTGTCTGCCAAGACGTGCTCCACGAAAACCAGCTGTCCGCCTGCAATAGAGTAAGGGTCAGAAACCCGCAGTTTATCTATATATGTATTATTGTATATCCTTATGTATTTATTTTCCTATAGATGTATACATTTTTGTTTTTAAGTACAGGGCTTGGGCCGTTTGTTTGTGCCAACCGCCTGGAGGGGTTAACGTTTTGGGGGATTCTATGCTGCCATGGGTATCAGAGTTTGGCAGGTGTGTCCCTAAACCCTAAACCCTAAACCCTAAACCCTAAACCCTAAACCCTAAACCCTAAACCCTAAACCCTAAACCCTAAACCCTAAACCCAGCCTGGTCTCAGAGCCTTTTGGACGTCGCAGAGCAGATTCTCCGGCCGCTCTGCACAACACAGCACATGCTGCAGCACCGCCATGTCGAAGCCCTCCTCGGGAACAGAGTTAGGGTTTAGGGTTTAGGGTTTTTTTTTGCCACCCGCTTAGCTGACCTCTCGGACACTCTGCAGGGAATTGGCGGTTGAAGTACAGGTCATCAAAAGCGTTGCCGTTCGGTTTAGGGTTTAGGGTTTAGGGAGTAAGGAGTAAGTGAAAACTTGGTAGGGCCGCTAGGGGCCCTGATCTGGCTCTTTAGGGTTTTTTGTGTAGGGTTGTGGGTTTAGGCCGTACTTGCTGGGCTGGGGCAAGAGTCTTCAACAGCTGGCGCTAGACTTCCAGCTGAAACATGTGTTCCACATACTTGTTTCATCTTTCAGCAACCAGGATGCAGAGTTGTGGCCGATGGACCCCACACACACACACACCCAGCATCCCATAGCCCACGCGGACGTTCCCAAAGCCCTGAACGCTGAACCTGCAAGCCATTAGCAAAGACACTGGCGAGGACTCCGGCATGGAGGGAAGCAGCTGGAAACCAGCAATTTGGGGCAGCCAGCGCTTCTGCTCCCGCTCCACGCAGGACCACGTGCACCTGAGATTCGCGGGAGTTGCTCTGTTCAGGTTACAAAGGACAGCGTGGTTCAAAGGCACCAGAGAGTAGGAGTGCACCACTAGCCGGTGAAGTAGGCGAGAACATGAGCGAGCAGAAGATGGTCTTGAGCAAAGCCCGAAGCATGCAAGTCCCCAAGCATAGTGACAGGGCACCGATTCGGCTCCACTGCAACTACCTGGCGCGTTGTGGGGGAGGGTGGTGCTACTTGAAGGCTCGGCAGCTGCTTTTTTCGCATATACCCATGGAGCTACAGGGTGACAGTCCCTGAAACTCCTGGCTTGCCTTACTCCTAAACCTCCTCTAAGTCGAGCCCCAAAGCCCCTCATGGGGCTACAAGTACCCATGAAACTCCAAGTGTTCTCCCTCACCTCAACACTGCGCAGCGAGAGCTGGGCTTCGTCCAGACTTCGGCGGATGTAACGGAGGTCACCTCCTTCAGGGCAAGATGCTTCCTGGTTCAGTTTAGGTTCCAGGGTTTCGGGTTTAGGGTTACATGAACCCTAAACCCACAGCGGTGGACCTAAACGCTGGAGTTGGTGTAAGGCTTGTTGGCAGCTTGGCCTACAACACTCTTACAATACTTGCCTGGTCTGCCCCAAACACTCCACCCTAAACCCTAAACCCTAAACCCTAAAACCCTAAACCCTAAAACCCTAAACCCTAAACCTGCTGTCGAGAGGCCCCCGCCAGCTCCGACGTCGAGCACCCTGATCCTGCGGAGGCTCGTTGCTTTTGCTTGGGGAGCTAATGAACTCCAAAAGAACCCTAAAAGTGGGTCATATACCCTATACTACTAAAACCCCTGTACCCCTTAGCTAAGATCCATGTTTCGATAACCTCCTACGTTGGATCGGAAACCTGCAAACCCCAAATCCTATCGAGCTGCGAACTGTTCGCAGCATGTCGCAGTAACCTGTCTCTAAACGCCCCGCACCCTACAATCCTACAATCCTTCACTTTGTAGGGTTTCAGGTATACAAATATACCTGGGTCGTAGGGTAGGAATCTTAGTTGTCCAGTATCCAGGGCAACTAAAGGTTAACTTTTGGGATTGTGTAGGGATTTTCGCCCCAAAAAGGTTAAAGGTTCGCTACTCTGCTACTAATCTACTAAGGAATCTAGAACCAGGAGGAGTAACCTAGGAATACAAAGGGCACCTGTTTTGGCCTTATGGGGCTTCTAAGGCAACCCCAACCCTGAAAAAAAGAAAAAAGGGCCTACTCCGGGTCCTAGACCACTTACATAGGGCTTGTAGTGCCCCTAGACAGGTTCAAAGCTACCTACTCTGCAACCTCAAGGAATACTACTGTAGGCTATGTGGGGCTCAAGCCTAAACTACTGGCTGCTTAAGAACCCCCAAAGGATGAATATCCCTATTTGCCCTTATAAGGAGGATTGTTCTATTAGTTTTTGTTTGGGAAGGGTGGGCTCTTAAGCAATTAGTAGTAAACTCCCCCCCCCCCCCCCCCAAACTCATGGGCCTCTTCGCACGCATGCTGGCCAGGCACTTGGCAGCCTCTCCTTGACGTGGGACCCGAAACCCTAAACCCTAAACCCTGAACCTTAAACCCTAAACCCTAAACCCTTAACCCTAAACCCTAAACCCTAAACCCTGGAACCTTGAACCCACGAGCCAATCTGGAACTTGAAGCTGACAAAACGCGGACTAAGCTCTTATGCTTGGCATGCTCCCCCTTCTACTGACAGTCCTTCATAGGGTTTAGGGTTTAGGGTTTAGAGTTTAGGTTCTAGGCGGCTCTATATAGGTCATTGTAGGACTGCAATTAACCACGCAGACCGGAATTCCGAGAGCACACACGCCAGATCCCCAGTCCACATGGAGGAACGTGCTCAGTAAGGGTTCGGGCTGAAGAGGGGAGATTTGTGTTCTGGTTTCAGGGCACGAGGCCCTCCCCTTGGGAACGACAAGAACCCTAAAAGGGTTTATGGTCCATAACCCTAAACCCTAAATCCTAAACCCATATACCTTAAGAGGGGTTGTATACATGACCCCGAATTTTGGGGCTCATGTCGTGCCCGAGGTCTAGGAGGCTTTTGGGACACGTCCGGGTTTCGGTAGGCTTCCAAGATCTCGGGCTCCAGACCATCTCCTGGCGCAGAGGTCTTTGAGTTGACTTTGGGGGTTTGGGAGACTTTAGGGTTTTTTTTTGCCACCCGCCTAGCAGACCCCAGTGGGATCACTCCGCAGGGAACAGACTTTAGGGTTTAGGGCTAGTCTAGGGTTTAGGGTTTAGAAGCAAGGTGTCATCGACAACCCCCCTCGACCCGTCCTCTCTTTGCCTGCTGTATACTTGACACCCAGACTTCAGGCGCAACTTCATGTTCACCCCAGGACTTTCTGTCCGATTGGAGGCACTGCTGAGCAAGAAGTCCCCCTCCTCGCCCTGAACTCTTAATCTTGGCCGAAGGCTTTCTAAGCTGAGGCTCTGGACACTACAAGAGTCCTAGCAGGGTTTACCTTCGTAGGTTGGGCTGTTCCCCCTTATACTAACAGTCCGTACTAGGGATATACTAGGCTGTACTATAATCCCTAAGGGGGCAACATCCCAATCCATAGGGGTAATATGGGGTCGGCATAACTACTAGTAGTTTGCCTTAGGGTCCCTTTATGAGCTATACTACAATAACTCCCCAAAACCTTATGATGATCCCAAGATTTGACGGGAGCTGGGCCTCCCAGCGACCAGCTCTCCTGAGCGACTGCCAGCAAGGGAAGACTGGGTTTAGGGATTGTAGGGGGGTTGTGGGGTTTGTAGGGGGTTTGTAGGGTTGGTAGGGTTTAGGGTCGAAAGCGCCCCTCTAAACTCTAACCCGACCTGGGAAGCTGCCAGCATGCGATGCTGCGAGTACTGTATAGTGTAGCCCAACTCTGCCAAAAAAAGCACAGCTTCGTAGCCCAGTAACCATCTTTCTATTAAGGCCTTTTTGGGGTTTGCTTCCTTTGTATAAGGGACCCTAAACCCTAAAACCTAAACCCTAAACCCTAAACCCTAAACCACCAAAAAAAGGAAAAGGGCACCGCTGGGCTACCAAGATTAAGAGGGAATCTCAGGGCCAGGGGGCCAGGGAAGCCAACGCCCGGAGATAGGCCGACATCATCTGCGGCGGCGCTGGCCATCGTCGGCTTCATGCTTCTTCTTAAGGGAGGGGAGTTCAAGGGGGGTTAAGTAACCCAACGTTCTCCCTACTACTTTCTAAGGCTCCCAAAGCTTCCCTAGGTACCTTTCCTTGAACCCCTCCCTTAAGAATCCCATAATTCTGACTTCCACACGCCGCGGGTGGGTAGGACTTGTACATGACCCCGTCGCATCGATGTTTGCGGTGCTCTGTTTGGGCTTGAAATTTCGGGCGTCCGCCCTCGCAAGCCAGGTCTGTCCGCTGAGTCTGAGAAACAATGCACTGCTTTTCTTGATCAGGCAATGTCACCTCGTTATTAATATCAAGATTGTATAATAAATATTCGCACTATAAATATGAATAAGTGTGTATATATATATATATTGATTTATTTTATTTTATTTATATTTATTTATTGATATTATGCACATAGATATAAATAAATAAATAAATAAATAAATATATATATATATATACACATACATACACATATATATATATATATCTAGACTATAGACACATAATATCTTGACTAGCCAGCATCAACCTGGCCCAACAGGGCTTAAGCTTGAAGGCGAGCAACCAAGTGCGTTACAGCGGCTTGAGCCAACACCAGGCTGCGCAGCTTCATTGGTGGCCTTCTGGCCCTGAAACCGCAAGAGGGTTTAAGTTTAGGGTTTAGGGTTTAGGGTTTAGGGTTTAGGGTTTAGGGTTTAGGGTTTAGGGTTTAGGGTTTAGGGTTTAGGGTTTAGGGCTTCAGGTTCTGCATCCCCGATGCACAGCCAGAAGCGGCATGCCTCCCCAAACACTGCTAGCTTAAAGGAGGCAGCACTAGGATGGGCTATTAGGCCTGATAATCCCCATATAATCAAAACCCTATAAAGACCCTTGTTAAGAGGTTATAGGGTGTAACTAGCCCATCCTGGTAGGGGTTCAAGGAACTTAAACCCTCATGTGGTCGCAGCCTGCCACCTCTTTGACGCAAGGCCGCAGCGAGTGAGTCCCTGGCTGACATGTTGGTCCAAATCTTGGTTTCTGGGTTGCAGCCGGAATCGCAGGGGGTGCAAAGCAACCTTTGACAAGCAGAAGGCGTGCAACAGTTCGAGGTGCTTCCTGAAACATAATCTCCGCAGTTTCGAATGAAAGACTTCAATTCCGCCCAAACGTGACCACTCTTATTCATTTAGCTCCTTCACACTTACCAGCCGGGACTGATCTCTCTGTCTGGCAGCCAACTTTCTAAGGGTAGTTGCATGGGTGCTGAAAATGGTCCCTTACCCTCTTAAAGGGTTCAGATGTATGGACCCTTGGGTTCTATAGGGTATGTAAGGGGTATATAAGGGGTACCCTTTTAAGGGCCAGGGACCACGTAACCACCCTTAGGCCTTATAGAAGCCTAACCGGGCCTTCCGTGTCAAAGGCCTCAAAAACCAGCTCCCCCGGCAATAGGTTTTGTCAATGTACTCGCCAATGTTCAGCCGACCCACTTCCAGAATACTTCCTTCTAGGCCTGGAGGTGGTTCTCGCGCTGCTGGCGGGAGATGTCGGCCGCGAACTCGGTTGCAAGACATGGAAACTCAGCAGAAAAAAGCCAGTGAAGGATGCAACATGCAATGCTTTTCACAAACATCCTGTCCCCTAAGCCCTAAACCCTAAACCGGCCTGATGTCCCCCGCAGCAGAAGTTGAGATGCTCCGTGGGAAGCTGGACAAACCTCCTTGCGCCTGCCATGGGCCGAGACTGCCCAGAGTTTTCAGGTTTTAGGCTTTAGGGTGTAGGCTTCCATGTTTGTACAGAAGCTGTCGGCCCTGGTCATCATGCTCTTCTAGGTCCTTATAACTCCAGCACGCTCCGTTATGAATCTGCGCAATCTCGAAGAAGCCTGCACATTAAGCTTGCGCACCTCCTCCCTTTGTGTTAACATGTTTTCGAGCTGCAGCGAGCTCAGCAAACCCAGCAAACCCAGCAAAACCAGCAAACCCAGCAAACCCTAACCCTAAACCGTAAACCCTAAACCCTACAAACCCCAAACCCAGCAAAACCCAAACCTTAAACCCCAGTGAATGCTAAAATGCCGCTGCCTTCATGCCGACGCTCCAAACCCACCTGCAAGCAAAGCAGTCTGGCAGGGCTTGGCTGCGGTTTCGGGGTTGGGGGCTTGGGTTTAGGGTTTAGGGTTTAGGGTTTAGGGTTTAGGGTTTAGGGTTTAGGGTTTAGGGTTTAGGGTTGAGGGTTGAGGGTTGAGGGTTAAGGGCTCAGGGTTAAGAATTTTGGCTTTAGGGTTTAGGCTTCAGGGTTCAGGGTTCAGAGTTTAGGGAACATGTCGGGAATTCTTGCGGATGGTCAGTCGGGGTTTGGAGTCCGATGCTTTGTTTGCCGTACACAACCCATACAGCAAACAGGGCTCCTTCCCTCTCTGCGATGGAAAGGGTTTCGGGTTTAGGGTTTAGAACAGACTTTTGCACCTCCGCACCTCTCATTGTCTCATGCATCGGCGATAAGCCAGCAGTTTGACACAAATTGATTCGGCGAGCGCGAGTTTCGAGAACGCCTGACAAGATTGTAGGACGTAGAGGATCACGAAGTTTCCTACAGAAGGCCCCCCCCCCACCCCGAAGAATAATTACCAGGGCATGAGAAGAGGCCTTTGCCAATGAGCCCGAGACCCTCCGGACTCCGAATATCAAGTTCATGGCTTAGGTTTAGGATTTGGAGCCCTAAGCCAGGAAGCGCGAATTCCCCTAAACCCTACAGACCCAACGCTCGAAAAACAAAAACAACGCCCAGTTCCGAAGACTCAAGAGAAGCTGGGATGAATAGGTTTTGGGTTTTGGGTTTAGAGTTTAGGGTTTAGGGTGGGATCGAAGGTCTTGCCTGGCATTGGGCAGGGGGTCGGCGCAGAAGGCCCCGCCTTGAGCCTGGGAGGCCAAGAGGTTGGGCTAGGGTTTGGAGTTTGGGGTTTGGGGTTTTTTCCCACCCGACTAGCAGCAATGCGGGGTCATCATTACGGCAACCGGAGAAACGCCCAGCTAATCGCTAAGGCTCGTCCAAAGACATGATGGTAGGACATGTTGGGAATGTTCAGGTTAGGGTTTGGGGTTTAGGGTTTAGGGTTTAGGGCTTAGGTTTCGGGGGTAGACATACTTCAAGATGAGTACCCGCATCAAGACACTGGACCCACACTCGACTCCAAAAGCGTTAAGGTGTGGCTTTCTTGAGGGGCTGCAACAACCTACCAACGAAGAGCATGCCACGACAAGGTTTTGGCGCCTGCCTGGCCTGACCGCATCCTCTGCAGGAGCACACACGACTGATTCCTAAACCCTAAACCCTAAACCCTAAACAACCCTAGATTCAGTGGCTTTCTGGGTTTCAGAGCTTCGGTGGGAGACTTTGGGTCTTCCGGTTCTGGTATTCCATTCCAACATCAAATTGCAAGGCCTGGCCGACACTGAACCCTAGGGTTTAGGGTTTAGGGTTTAGGGTTTAGGGTTTAGGGTTTAGGGTTTAGGGGCTATCGACCCCGGGCAACGTCTGCACACCAGGGCTCAACATGGACTCAAAGGAACGCGGCTAGGCCATGCAAGCCCTAAGCCCGAACTTCTACGACCATTCATCCGAACTCGCACCGCCATGAAGACCTTGCTCTTCTCACGCCCTAAACCCTAAACCCTAAACCCTAAACCCTAAACCCTAAACCCTAAACCCTAAACCCTAAACAGCCAAGTGGCCGCCATGTTTTTGTCCCGACGGCTAAGGAGGCGCTCGAAGTGGTCACTGCCTCGAAATGGGGGTTTACGAAGATAGAGGACCCCTACGTAGGATTCAAGGTTAGGGTTTAGGGTTTAGGGTTTACGATAACAAGGAACACCCAATATCGCCCCCCCAAAATAGCAGGAGTCCCTTTTAGTAAGGACCCCAATAAGGTACCCCTAATTTCGGAAACCCCCATATCAGATGCTTTATGGCTGGTGTCGTGAGAGACTTTAAAGCCCCAAGCCTTCGGAGATCTTCACCTAAACTCTGCGTTTCTATAGGGAACTAGATACGTGTCATGCCTCTCTGGCCTCCCAATCTTGCATGGCATTCCTGTATGAACTTGGGTCACATCGAATGCGTCCGAACGGGGGCGTTCAAGAGATGTGTCAGAGCTGTGCTCGCGGCCGCAGGCGCTATGGCCACCGTTAAGTTCCTCGTCAGAGAGGCAGGAGGCTTGCAGAATTCAGGACTTGAGCTTAGCAGAGTGTGATGTGGCACCGGGACTGCGGATCTAAAGATCCCTAAACCCTAAACCCTAAACGCCTAAACCCCTAAACCCTAAAACCTAAACCTTTAACCCCCCAAATTCCCCAAGGAGCCCAAGTAGGTGCTCTCTACGTTGGCACAAAGGAGGAATGGTAGAATGAATTCCGCCTCTCCAAAGCACGAACGAACCAGGGGCTTAGGGGATTATGCTGCCAGCTCCTGTTAAAGTCTCAGAAGGTAAGCTCGTCTTGGCGCGATCCCAAACTCACAGTGGGTGGGGTCCTGCAGCCATTCGGGCCTCAGCACATAGTCCTCCTCCTCAGGGCAGAGCTGAAATGCCACAACTCTCCAGACTTGTGGCGGCTTGATGCCATGCTGTATGCAAATTCCTCGCAGCAAGTGGGGTGTGAAGGTGATTCCGCGAAGTAGTACATACGTAAAAGAGGGTCACGTACACTCAACCCCTAAGCTCTAAATCCTATAAGAACACAAACTAAAACCCGGCTGTGCCTAGCTTGAAGGAGGTGAGGGCTTTAGGGTTTCAAGGTTTAGGGCTGCGGGAGCCACGTGCAGGTTCCTTGATAGTTTAGGGTTTAGGGTTTATATCTGGTGGTTTTCGAGGGTCTCTAGCCCTTCAGAGCCGTCCCAGCAGCCCTCATGAGCCCTACGTAAAATGGAAGAACCATGTCGGCGGCACCTTGCGCTGGTGACGAAATCGGAGCTGATGCAGCGACCTG